AGCGATGTAAATGGTAATAATATTACAATGAAACTTTATCACATATCGGAGTGAGACACAAGCATGTTAGAAGAATAAGTTATAAACTCGTGCGAAAGAGAGAGAGAGAGAGAGAGAGAGAGAGGAAGAGAGAGGGGAAGGAGACCCGATTGAGCTCCGTTGCAGAATCGTCAACCAGCGCGTATGTACAAAGTCGCGTCGAATACACGAGGAAAACGAGGTACGAATAATGTATGATAAATATGTGTGTGGAGGTCTCTTTCTCCGTACGTACCAATTTCCATTTGAAAAAACACGTTCTGCGTTTCTATCTCCTAGGTAAGTTTTGTCGTACAAGTACGACGAAAGATACGAGCGGTGACGTCGAAATCAAGATACGTCTCTCGGTTGTCGCCGTGAATCGTCCACTGCACTGGTATGGTGTCGCCGACTCTCCTGTGGCTCCTCGAAACTTTCGATCGCGTCGGGTTGGATTCCTACTGCGTATGCACGCGCGAAACTTGCGCCGGTAGTTCTTGTTGATCTATGCTGTGAAATTCTAAGACGATGCACGTTTCTAAACACACTCTAGCCGGTCTCTTGTACGTTACGCAATATTCTACGTAAATACATAACGCATTCCCGGAGCGGACTCCGCGACAAGTAACGTACGTCCGCGCCGCGTGCGGTCACTTCCTCCGCGAAGCGCCACCGACGCCGCTGCTGTTGCCGCCACCGCCGCCTCCACCGCCACCACAGCGGGTACCGTAGTACACCCTCGGTTGTGTGTATCACCAGTTTCTTCCCTCGCGATCGAGCCTCTCGACGGCGTCGTACAATCGACCCTTACACTCACAGACTTCTCTCTCTCTCTCTCTCTCTCTCTCTCGACGTCTCCACCTCTCTCTCTGTTCCTCTTCCGTTCGCGTTCGCTCCGTTCACACACATGTACGCATCCGCGCACACAGTACCATGCGCGCGCGCGCCCGCGCGCACTCTCTCTCTCTCTCCCCCCTTTTTCTTACTTTCTCACTCTGTTTCTCCTTATGTATGTACTAGACTCCTCCTCCCTCTCGCACAATTTCTGTGTGTTCCACACCTATCTTCCTCTCTCTCTCTCTCTCTCTCTCTCTCTCTCTCTCTCTCTCTCTCTCTCTCTCTCTTACTCTCTTTCTTTCTCTTCAGGCTCTCTTGATCCGTTGTTTTTTCACGACCAAAAAATCGACGAAGCCTTAACAGGCCGGTCGGTCCGGTTGCCCGTAGGAATTTACTGTGTTCTTGCTTCCACGAATACGCGCGCGCGCAAATGCACTCTTTAGCAACGGCGAAATCTTGTAGTATGGGTAAATAAACGTGAGATAATGTACATCTTTTGCGTAAGCAAGAGACGCGCGTTACATCGGATTCGTTGGATTCACCGCACTTTTTCGTAAGACGCGTACATGAAACCGTCGACCCGTACACCCTCACTCCTTCAGCGGTACAAGGCAAACTATTGGATTTTGTGATGGCAAACAAGGAACCGACTCCGACTGGTCGCGTAGCGGGAAGATGATCGTGGGAAGGGGGGAATGTACTGCGCAGAAGCGTATTGGCGCGACCAGCGGCGTCTGTTACCAACCACTTGGGTTTCGGGTTAACTCGGCTTGGCTGCTGCTGTTACCGATTATCAGACATCGCATCACCATGTTCACCATCCGTATCGCAGATCTGTGTCTGCGATCCATGGAGCAGCGAGCAACGTTCCGGCTTTCCGACATTCGGACAAATTTGTACAAATTGAAGCGCGCACTATCGAGCTTATGTGATCGTCGCTTCCCAGACATTCCGATTTTTGTGGTCGCGTGCGCTACTCTCTCTCTCTCTCTCTCTCTCTCTTATTGCGCGCGCGCTCGCTCGCTCGCGGGGAGTCAAAACAGAGGAATTGAGGTCATTAAGGAATGGAGATAGGGACCGATTGCGTGGAAATTCAGCGACGATGTCATGTATGTATTATAGTCGAGTGATATTTGTTAGCATTGCGTAGTTAACCGCGTGATGTGAATGTAAACGCAAAAGCGTCTCGCGATTATCACTTTGTTAGACAAATGAAAATTTGCAAGTTTCGATCTTCGTCGTTTGGATTGTCGCGTTTTGCGACAAAAATGAAGATGCGAATATATAAAGCACATGTGCGCTTTCAATAATAGAGTGCAGATCCGAACACATCGAATTCAATGTTTCGTACGCTGTTGCGCGACATCCCGCCAAATGAGCGTTCAGATTCCGACCCGAGTACGCTCCAGGTATCATGTTCTTGTTTCGTATTCGGTAAGCAACAAGGATAAAAAGACACATCTAGGGGCTGCGTTTGGAAACCTCACTCGAGTATCGTCTTATCCTTGTTAATCCATGTTATAAACAATGATAAGACGATGCACGGGGATACTGATTCGGCTGATGTTTCCGAACGCAAGCTGGGTGGTATCCATAAGGAGTGTCCGGGGGTATCGATAGTCGAAGAGACAACCTTGGCGCTACATACGGCAATACGGTTCTGAGTTGCGCCGCCGGCGGCGGTTGAGTTGAGGCGTAGGTAGATAGGGTAGGGTAGGGCGCAGCAATGCGCAGAAAGACGTGTGCGCAGCGCGATTTCATAGCGAACGGTTCACCCAGCTGTTCCAAGTCCCCCCCCCCCCCCCCCCATTGTAATCTGGGTCACACATGCAAACTGCGCGACATAACCGACGAGATCGCGCGTCGTTTGTCGAAAGTGGTCAAAAGCAGTAGAAAGATCGTCAGTGACTTTGCAGTTTTCAACATATGCCGTTTTATCGAGCATGTTGCCGCCGTGTAATGCGTCGTACGAGAATTACAACTAATATATGAACTGCACTCAAATGCGTCGTGACTGTTTAATGAACTTGACTGGTCGCTAACCGGAGAATCGCGCGTCGATTAACCGGCGGTCCTTGCTCGGATTATCCGAGTGCTTCAACCTCAAATCACATTCACGGTATGGCGCTCGCGACGGCTTATTCCTGCGAATCGTGACAAACGAAAAGAAAAATCAATTATCGCTACCACGGAGTAATAAGGAGATCAAGCTCAAAAATCAATATGGGGTCGAAACACGATTTCGGTAAACCCCATGGAAAATCGAGATGTGGTACGTGTGATGTGGCCTTTAGAGTCCTAAATATATCAGAGAAGCGCAACCGGCTTAAGTCAGTATCGCAAAATTATTAAGAAAAGTAATAAAAATGGCGTCGTTTGCAGATGAAATATGAAATCCACCAATCGTCTATTAGTCAGCCATTTTTAATACCACTCAATGAATATCATGATTAGCTGATAGTCAGCTAATCAGGACGCGGAACATCGGCGGCCGCTTACGTTCTCAACTGTGATTGGTAAATTCGTTTACTGATTACGTTTACGGCCTTTCTATGTGCCATGGGCTTTATATTATTTAACGAAAATTCTACTCTTACAACTTCTAAACCACCGCGTTCACATTACTCAAAAGTGGGGATATAACAGCATAGATGATTGGTTCCGCCATTTTACTTTAAAGCCAATGAAAATTTATACAAGATTGACACAACTCTCTTATGCCTGGTTTATGCTTCGGTCTTAATCCCAAAAATTCAGCCAATAGAATTCAAATTTCGGTTAGAACTGGCAGCTTTATTGGTTGAATTTTAGGATCTTGGGATTAAGACTTGAAGCATAAACCAGGCATTACAGGAACTCTATACAGCGCTTTTCCGACACCGTGTTTCGAGCCCATCTTGGCCGACCGCTTGAGCTTGATCTTCGTATTACTCCGTGATCGCTACTAACAATAAGATCATTATTCCAAGTGAATAATTTGTTTGAACAGAGTAGTGTGTTGTGACAAAAGTTGAAGATTGAATCACTTGGACTCCATAACGACACGAGAGGAGACACAGAACATATAGGCCGGTATTCATAGTCAGTTCTCATATTCAAGACCGTCTTAAGTTCAGTCTTGAGGAGTTACGAACCAATCAGAGGGCCGCTTTAGCATCTTAAGACATTACTTAAGACAGTCTTGAAATAAGAACCGACTATGAATACCGGCCATAAGCACATGGGCTAGATTCGGGGAGACGCTATTAGCGCTATTTGTTTCATTTTATCTTCGTCGTCCATTAGACGTGAGACAAGGACGTACCACACAAATGGCGCTAAAGCCAGCGGCACACGGTGTTTGTTTTCCTGCTGGATTGCTAGCTAGATCAGATTCTTGCCATCGGATTGGCCGCGATATTGGCACTTTCAGCACCGCAGCCAATACGGTAGCAAGATTCTAATCCAGCTAGCAATCCAGCAGGAAAACAAGCACCGTGTGCCGTAGGCTTAATAGCGCGCTGCCCGAATGCAGCCATAATAGAGCATGAGCATAACATAAAACTGTTGGACCAATAAGCATCCAGCATGAAGTTGCCATATTAAATAATATAAGATGCTCATTGGTCCAGTGGTCTTATGTTATGTTTATGCACTGTTCACAGATGTCTACGGCCTACCGGCTATGTCTATGAATACCTTCATAGGTGCGGTCGAGTTGCCACTACAAATGCTTTGAAGCGTTTCTTGATTGGTCAATTTGTAAAATTCTTTCTTTTGATTGGTCAATCAAACGCTTCAAAGCATTCGTAGTGGCAACTCGACCGCAGCCATAGTCAGTTCTTATATTGAAGGCCGTCTTAAGTTCACTGTGCCCACAGTGCAATAAGTTGAAGTGATACAGAGTGCGGTCGAGTTGCCACTACGAATACTTCGAAGTGTTTCTTGATTGGTTAATTTGTAAAATTCTTCCTTCTGATTGGTTAATCAAACGCTTCGAAGCATTCGTAGTGGCAACTCGACCGCACCCATAAGCGGGGAGCACAGACTTTTGCATAAAGCATGTGCATAAGGAATTTCATTGGTCCATTTTCTTATGCATGAGTCAATGGACCAATCAAATTCTTTATGCACATGCTTTATGCGTTATGCAAAAGTCTGTGCTCCCCGCTTCACTTTTCAGAATGCAAAAGGAACGTGCATCAACTGAGTAATGACGTCATAAGTGAGAATTATATCAGAGTAAATGGAAAGCAACTTGTATATTAGTGTATATTCTGAATTCTGAGTGCTAAATTTGCACACGATCACGTATATGTCATAATTAATCATTTTTTAAATTTATATCTTCAACAGATTATTCCTTATTGGATTATATCAATGTATGTACTGTGAAAAATTTACGGGAAAAAGTAACTCGATCAAATTGATTGTGTTCCTTGGAGATGATTAGACGTGTTGTGGTGGCCATGTCTGGTGGGGTTGATAGCGCAGTTACGGCTCTTTTGCTTAAAAATAAAGGTAAGGCTAACGAAAAATCCTAGCCCTGTTTCTTTCATTAATATGTTAAGTATACATTATATATACTATTTTTTAAGGATTTCGTATTATTGGAGTGTTTATGAAAAACTGGGACATTAGGGATGAAACAGAAAAGTGCATAGTCGAGAAAGATTATGATGATGCTCGATGGATCTGTGACAAATTAGAAATTCCTTCAATACAGATTGACTTTGTTAAAGAATATTGGAACGAAGTTTTTAGGTACTTGAACTTCTTAACAACCACAAGCGAGGATAGTGACATTTTTATTCTTTAATTTTTCTAGTGATTTGTTAGAAAAGTATCAGAATGGATATACTCCGAATCCAGATATTTTGTGCAACAAGAACATCAAGTTTGATAAATTTTTTCATCTAGCACGTAACAAGTTTCAAGCAGATGCAATTGCAACTGGTCATTATGCTAAAACAAGCTTTGGACCATATCTAGAGAATTATAAAGCAAACACTAGCAAGTATTTCATATTGAGTAGAATTAATCCATCCATATTTCTTAATGTAATGCTACTATTATAATTCTGTAGATGTACGCTTGTTACAGGCACAAGATAGCAATAAAGATCAAACGTTCTTCTTGAGCCAGATACCGCAACAAACCTTGAGACATTGCATGTTTCCTCTTGGAAATTACTTGAAAAATCATGTGAAGCTTATGGCTACACAAGCAGGATTGTGTCAAATAGTACGAAAAAAGGAAAGCATGGGTCTTTGCTTCGTGGGAAAACGTGACTTTCAAGATTTTATTTCAGAGGTAAAATGACATATACAGGGTGTCTGGAAAATGGAGGCTAATACTTGAGGAAGTGATTTGGGAGCCAAAGAAAAAGAGGAAAAAAGCTACTTAAGTTTGGAAATAAGTCGTTTCTGGGTTATAATCACTTTTTATGTTAAAAAATTGAAATTTATTTTTCATAATTACAATTATAATTTATTTCAGTGTTTTAACATAAATAACTACATGTTTTATTAAAAAATTTTTTTTACTTCTTATTTTTTACTTTTCTGGTATTTTTAAATATGGTTACTACATTATTTTTAGATAAATATAAACAGGTTAAGTAGAATTAAATGAAATATTCAAAATTACCACTTTCAGTACAAATGCAGGTCCTTATTCTTCTATCAAAGGAATTCCAAATTCTTTGAAAAACAGCTTGATCTCTCCTTATTTCTTCGAATCAAAATTTTAATTTTTTATGTAAAAGTGGTTATAATTCGGAAACGACTTATTTCCGGATCTATGTTTATATAACTTTTTTTCTTCCTTTTTAGCCCCCAAATCACTTTCCGAAGTATTAGTCTCAATTTCCTGGACATCCTGTATTTCTCCTGACTGTTTCTGATCAGATAATGCGAGATGACAATAACAATGATACAATTTTTTACGGTTGCAGTATATAGCAGATAAACCTGGTGACTATATAGATCTGGACAGTGGACTGCTGATAGGTAAACATGATGGTATTCACAAATGGACTATAGGACAAAGATGCAAAATTGCTGGCTGTCTCAAGCCTTATTACGTGTTTAGCAAAGATCACGGGTCAAATACTATTACAGTGGTACGCGGTAAAAAATAAAAATTTCATTGAAAATATAAATTAAGATTTGTTAATAATATTCTCTTCTTTTTCTGATGTACATAGGTAGCTGGTACAACTCATTCAGCATTATACACTAACTTTTTAATAACAGAGAAAATTTATTGGATCAGTGAGGAGCCGTGCGAATTAAGACAGACCAATAGTGTGTTGAATTGTAACTTTCGCTTTCAACACAGAAATCCACTGATTGCTTGTAGAGTATACAAGATGTCCAGTGATCGCTTATTCATTCGTCTTGCTGCACCTTTACGAGCAATTACAAAAGGCCAGGTAATTAATTGTGTATAATAAAGATGTGTTTTTATGATACTTGTGACTGTTTATATAGGCAATAACAATTAAATTTTACCACCAAAAAGTTATTTACTAATCCAACCAAGCTCTATTTCAATAAATTAAGTAGTAACGCGCCATTACTTCAACTATTGCTTAATTTTATATATTAATTTGATTGTATCGATGTCGACTAATTTATATGTATACATACATGCGTGAGAATATAAAATGTGCATTTATATAAATTTCAGTACGCTGTTTTATACTCGGGAGAGGAATGTCTGGGCAGCTCAATGATATCATATGCAGGGCCATCTTATTTTGCACTTGGGCAATTGTATAAATTACACTCATTGCCATAATTTTTTGCTTAAAAATAAAGGTAAGGCTAACGAAAAATCCTAGCCCTGTTTCTTTCATTAATATGTTAAGTATACATTATATATACTATTTTTTAAGGATTTCGTATTATTGGAGTGTTTATGAAAAACTGGGACATTAGGGATGAAACAGAAAAGTGCATAGTCGAGAAAGATTATGATGATGCTCGATGGATCTGTGACAAATTAGAAATTCCTTCAATACAGATTGACTTTGTTAAAGAATATTGGAACGAAGTTTTTAGGTACTTGAACTTCTTAACAACCACAAGCGAGGATAGTGACATTTTTATTCTTTAATTTTTCTAGTGATTTGTTAGAAAAGTATCAGAATGGATATACTCCGAATCCAGATATTTTGTGCAACAAGAACATCAAGTTTGATAAATTTTTTCATCTAGCACGTAACAAGTTTCAAGCAGATGCAATTGCAACTGGTCATTATGCTAAAACAAGCTTTGGACCATATCTAGAGAATTATAAAGCAAACACTAGCAAGTATTTCATATTGAGTAGAATTAATCCATCCATATTTCTTAATGTAATGCTACTATTATAATTCTGTAGATGTACGCTTGTTACAGGCACAAGATAGCAATAAAGATCAAACGTTCTTCTTGAGCCAGATACCGCAACAAACCTTGAGACATTGCATGTTTCCTCTTGGAAATTACTTGAAAAATCATGTGAAGCTTATGGCTACACAAGCAGGATTGTGTCAAATAGTACGAAAAAAGGAAAGCATGGGTCTTTGCTTCGTGGGAAAACGTGACTTTCAAGATTTTATTTCAGAGGTAAAATGACATATACAGGGTGTCTGGAAAATGGAGGCTAATACTTGAGGAAGTGATTTGGGAGCCAAAGAAAAAGAGGAAAAAAGCTACTTAAGTTTGGAAATAAGTCGTTTCTGGGTTATAATCACTTTTTATGTTAAAAAATTGAAATTTATTTTTCATAATTACAATTATAATTTATTTCAGTGTTTTAACATAAATAACTACATGTTTTATTAAAAAATTTTTTTTACTTCTTATTTTTTACTTTTCTGGTATTTTTAAATATGGTTACTACATTATTTTTAGATAAATATAAACAGGTTAAGTAGAATTAAATGAAATATTCAAAATTACCACTTTCAGTACAAATGCAGGTCCTTATTCTTCTATCAAAGGAATTCCAAATTCTTTGAAAAACAGCTTGATCTCTCCTTATTTCTTCGAATCAAAATTTTAATTTTTTATGTAAAAGTGGTTATAATTCGGAAACGACTTATTTCCGGATCTATGTTTATATAACTTTTTTTCTTCCTTTTTAGCCCCCAAATCACTTTCCGAAGTATTAGTCTCAATTTCCTGGACATCCTGTATTTCTCCTGACTGTTTCTGATCAGATAATGCGAGATGACAATAACAATGATACAATTTTTTACGGTTGCAGTATATAGCAGATAAACCTGGTGACTATATAGATCTGGACAGTGGACTGCTGATAGGTAAACATGATGGTATTCACAAATGGACTATAGGACAAAGATGCAAAATTGCTGGCTGTCTCAAGCCTTATTACGTGTTTAGCAAAGATCACGGGTCAAATACTATTACAGTGGTACGCGGTAAAAAATAAAAATTTCATTGAAAATATAAATTAAGATTTGTTAATAATATTCTCTTCTTTTTCTGATGTACATAGGTAGCTGGTACAACTCATTCAGCATTATACACTAACTTTTTAATAACAGAGAAAATTTATTGGATCAGTGAGGAGCCGTGCGAATTAAGACAGACCAATAGTGTGTTGAATTGTAACTTTCGCTTTCAACACAGAAATCCACTGATTGCTTGTAGAGTATACAAGATGTCCAGTGATCGCTTATTCATTCGTCTTGCTGCACCTTTACGAGCAATTACAAAAGGCCAGGTAATTAATTGTGTATAATAAAGATGTGTTTTTATGATACTTGTGACTGTTTATATAGGCAATAACAATTAAATTTTACCACCAAAAAGTTATTTACTAATCCAACCAAGCTCTATTTCAATAAATTAAGTAGTAACGCGCCATTACTTCAACTATTGCTTAATTTTATATATTAATTTGATTGTATCGATGTCGACTAATTTATATGTATACATACATGCGTGAGAATATAAAATGTGCATTTATATAAATTTCAGTACGCTGTTTTATACTCGGGAGAGGAATGTCTGGGCAGCTCAATGATATCATATGCAGGGCCATCTTATTTTGCACTTGGGCAATTGTATAAATTACACTCATTGCCATAATTTAATAGCATCTGGTAGAGTTTAAATAAAACTAAATGTGTATGTATAAATAAATATATATATATATATATATATGAATATTTTTAATTATAATAAAATTAATATTTCAGTAAAACCGTTTTTATTCATATGCAATATTTGTTTATTTTTGTATGTTCAAGTATCAATTTCTCTGTACATTTCAAAAATATGTATGGACACACAGCATGCATATTTGTACTCGCCGCGCGAGTGTAGTACTATTTCGCAAAATGGATTAATCGAACGTATACTCACGAAATACATATATTTTTTAATTTTGTGCGTGTGTACTTTTAGTTTGTATTATGTGGCTATACACAATAGGCGAGTTCAAGAGGGCAAAGCGGCTAGGTACGCTTGCCGAGCGATTGAACATAATTGGTTATTACTTATAGATCCAACCAATCATATTCGATCGCTCGGCAAGCGTATCTAAGCCGCTTTGCCGTCTTGAACTCGCCCATGTCTACGTATTCAGCAGATAATGCAGCTTTGCAACTGTTGTAAAATTCTTTAATATGATTGGTCTTGCCCTTACTTTCTCTTTAGATCTAAATGTATAAGCCAATCGTATTCAAGATTTTTACAACAGTTGCAAAGCTGCTTTTTCTGTTGAACGCAGCCATGCTTTAAGCGGGGAGCACAGACTTTTGCATACGCATGTGCATAAGGAATTTCATTGGTCCATTTTCTTATGCATGAGTCAATGAACCAATCAAATTCTTTATGTATATGGTTTATGCGTTATGCAAAAGTCTGTGCTCCCCGCTTTAAGCTAGCGGTGGCCGCTTACGTTCTCAATTGTGATTGGTCAATTCGTTTACTGATTACGTTTACGGCTTTACGTTTTTCTTATGTGCCATAGGGCTTTATGCCTATCGCACATGAAATGCATAACTGTGCATAAGCATCACATAAGGCCGCTGGACCAATGAGCATCCAGCATAAAGACGTCATATTGATTAACATAAGATGCTCATTGGTCCAGCGGCCTTATGTTATGCTTATGCACAATTATGCATTTCATGTGCGATAGGCCTTACACTGTCAACATGTTTCAATAGAAATATACTCAAATTTCTATTAGATGTTTATTCAAGTCGTAGTTGGCGATTTTCGATTTTTTCAGTGATAATTGTAACATACTTCTCTCAATACGTCCTTCAGATTACTGATGGATATGTGTATTATTATAATAACTATAAATATTAATTTAAAATTTGGAAGAAAGTTAAGCGTATAATTTTAAGAAAAGTGAAAGCTTTAGAAATGAAAGAACAGTAATTTTATTCATAATGTCGAATGTAATTAGGATATAAAAAATCTTTAGTATCTCATCGTGGTATAATAAATCTTATTGATTTCAGATAAATGAAATGATTTCGATGATAGAAATTATTATGGACGTGCACGCTTTATTGTTAAGAATATTAATCGAATGAATACCGTTTGTATGTCATCATTAAGCTATTAACACGTGTCCGCAGTTCTGTCAGAGATGAACAGAACAATAGATTTCAATAGATTTCATTGGAACATCTTACCCAGCTACGATGATTACCCTGTCGAAGAAGAGACTAATAAAAGTGAGTAAGCCAAAATAGGACGATCCCAATTTAAATTCCAAAGAACAATTATTAATTTTTAATAAAAACAAACAAGTATCCTATACTCCTAAGTAGTGTGTATCATTAGCATCGTACGTCTTGCGTGTTAACGCGCGCGTCTCTTGTATTATTTTTATATTTTGAGTTGAAAGATACATGCATCTATAATATATTGTTACAATTTGGAACGGAAAATAATCAGTATGACAGATGATGAGATGGATACAATATAATGATGGGGTCGTAAGTAGAATGTGAGATATAGCGTATCGTGTTATTGAACGATAACTGCAAGTTATTAGGGTCGATTGAGTAACGAGTAACTCAACGTAAAGAGCGCGTAAAATGTCTCTCAACATGTGTGTGAGTGACTGTGAGTGAGTGTGTGTGTGTGTGTGTGTGTGCGCGCGCGCGCGCGCGCGCCATGTACAAATAAGCCGTGTCTCTCTGGCTTACTCTCGCGATTTGTCGTTGTGTGACTTTACGTATGTAAATTATTCCCGCACGAATGCCGCTTGGTAGATTTGCTCTCATATAGTACGTAGACACTTGTGCACTCGACGAGTTAACACTCGTACTTCGATCGAGAGAACGGCCGTACATAGCAATCTATCTTTGTCCATTTCGGCGCGCATTTAATGTCTCGTTTGTTATTGACGTTGAATAAAAAGTTTTGTGTTTACATTGTTATTCAAGATTTGTGGTTGTTCAGGATTAGTTCAGTGGATATAAGCAATACATAGCACTTGTATATCGTTCGCGAAAGTAAATTGAACAATTGGATGTACAAGCTATATTGCGAAAATTATAAGAATTTCGTACAATAGTTTTTTTTTTTCTTTCTCTTAATTCTTTATTTTAAAAATACGATTTAATTTCTCTCGCTCAATTCAATAGATTTTACAATTGGAAATGATTCAACAGCTTTTCGCGCACTATTAGAGTTTTTTTTATTCTTCTTTACATGAATTTTCTAGAAATTGTATTATTAAAATTCAGTGTTTATTATTATTGGTATTAATATCATCGGATTAATAAAAAACGAGAATAAAATTCTACGGAAAGTAATTGAAGCATATTATTTAACTGTTGATCTTTAATTTTATTATATTTGTAGATTATATATACGTATATATATTGTAAGAAATTTTGTTGTAGGAGAGACCAGGGCAAGTTGTTACACTGGGTAAGTTGTTACAGTCAGTTTTTTTTTTAGTTGTTACAGATGGCAACCTATTTTTACAAATTTTTATGTCATCCTTATGATACTCTCTCTATAACTTGACATAATTTAGTTGCATAGTTGTACTCTAGAAGGTGTTATGTTTATTTTCGTGATTTTTACTGTTGAAAATAAATTATTTCGTATGAATTGTTTGTATTATTATATGTATCTGTAAGGTAGAGGTATATGTGTATGACTATGTTTTATATGTGCGTTCAGCAGAAAAAGCAGCTTTGCAATTGTTGTAAAATTCTTTAATATGATTTGTTTTTTCTTTAGTTCCTCACTGGATCTAAATTTATGAACCAATCATATTCAAGAATTTTACAACAGTTGCAAAGCTGTTTTTTTTTTTGCTGAACGTTGCCAAAAACACGTTTTATTTGTATTTATGTGTGTACTGGTTTTCGGTTTGTATTTTTTCAAATAATGGGAAACGAAGAGTTTCGGCAAGTTTTGTTACATGATCGGGGTAGGTTGTTACATTTATCTCGTACTTGGAATTAAAAATCTTTGTTTTATTTTCTACAGAATGCGGTCTTGCCCAAAAAAAAAAAAAAAAAAAAAGAAAAATAGAGACTATTGTGTAATAAGTGTAAAAACGTGAATCTTAAAAGTAATTTGTAGTGTTTTAATGTTTTTTAAATTAATGATAATTAGCTTAACTGAGGAGCTTACTAATATATGTAATTTTAGCTCATTGGCATATACATATATGTTTTTTGCAAATTTTTGAATTGATCTTGGGATTTTTATCAAATAGAACATAATGAATATAAGTAGTATAATATGAGCGTAAGAATTGTTCTTTGATCATTTTCACATTCACAAAAGTATTTTTTAATATTATTACTAGTACCATTAGAAATATTGTATATTCAATAAAATATCTATAAGTTGTAATCTATTCATATGTAAACGACTAAAATAACATACTTAAATTTCGCTCACGTTATATCAAAAGTATAATGACTTATTATATATCTTTCATTGAATATATTTGTCTAATGGTACTGATGGCGATAATAATATTAAAAGATATTTATGTGAATAAGCAAAATGATCGGTGAACAGTTGATTCATATGGCTGCTGTTATTTATTATACTCTTATAGAAGATGTTTGGCAAAAATTCCAAGATCAGCTCAAACTTTAAGTGTACTTTTTAAAAAAGATGAACTTAGTACAATAAAATTGAAGAAAATAGCGATAATGAATAAATATTTATGTTTTTATGTATAAATGTATGTATGTGTAAGTGTTAATTAAAATAAACTTAAAATTAATTTAAAAATATGCAATTTTACAATATAAAATAATCAAATAAATAATTTAAACATTAATTCTTATTTAATTCAAATACAAGAAAAGGCTCGTCAGAATAAAAATTCAATTTAAATAATAAAGGGCTAGTATCCCCCTTGTCCTTCCCCTCCCCCCCTCCCCCCTCCAAGTTGATTGTTTTTAATATTTAATGTCTCACATAAATAAAAACAAATAAATTGAATAAAATATAAACAGACAAATACAAATTATAAACAGATATTTCGACCCTTCGAAAAGTCTGTTTATACAATTTGTGGATGAGTCATCCTTAGTGTGACGGATTTTGAATTTTAAGACTAATGATAGAAACACACAGTATAAATTCATTTCGTATTAAGTACAATAAATGAATAAGGTTTTATATGCACGCGTATAATATCTATTAAAAAATAATTGAAGAAAGTGATTTTTAATAATAAAAGTTTTAACTATATAATAATAGTACATTGTGTAACGATCAGTGGGGGCTAGCGTTTATGGCGCGAAGGGCGCGAAAGCACGAGCGAAGCGAGTGCGTATTCGCGCCCGTTCAGCTATGTTATATTCTCTATCTCTTACTCTATATTTATATTTTATAGATTTTATTGTTCTTTATTTTTATCTTGCAGTTATTTTTTATCATGAACCGTATTTTTCTGTTCAGTCTTTATACTTATTAATCAATTTGTATCCTTAGAGGGACTGTTCTGGAATTCAACATATGCCTTTATCTCTCTATTTATCCATCTTTTAATAAATGATGATAACACGTAATTATATTTAGATTAATTTTGTCCAATAGAGACATGTTTAATTGTTTTCAGAGAAAATGCAAAGTGACAGTAACTTGAACCAATCAAGCGACGATGACTTTTTCAACAGCGGACCATGTCCGTCGTGTAGATTGGCTATCAATAAGGAAACCGGTAGACTCAAGTGTGTGAAAAGTTTCAGTTGATTATTTTCTACACATTTCGATATAAATTTCTCACATTTTTAATAATAGTGAGTGAATCTTTTGTAAAATTTAGATGGTGTACTGGCGGAAGTGAAGGACGGCGTTTACGTGTTAAACTGATGCTTCTTATACCTGCCGTGTTGCTGCCGATCACCATAGTGTTTATCGCTCTGTCGCGATTTCAAGCCACAACTAAAACCCCCGACTCACACACGATTTCCGTTTATAAGCTGCAGGAACAGGACAAAGAAAAGATCGAAGATGACATCTTTTGGCGTAAGTTTCACATGACATGGCAAAAATACACAATAGCTGAAAGAATGTAATAAACAATTAAGAATTTCTATTATATATTTTAGTTAACGCTTTTCATATACTTCCAATAATCAAACTTATTTCAACATAATGCTTGTACAGAGTAAACGCCGATTATACATTACGAATAGATCGATTTACGATATTATATCACGCGAAATTGTCAATAAATCGAGTATTATAAAGCTAAAAAAAACTTAATCAGTCTCATCATTATATATTTGCTGATCATATACATATGTATTAAACAGCACACGCGAACAAAATAGGTACCCATCAAAGCGAGTATCGCGCGTACGTAAAAGTATACATTCTCTCTTAATAAGTTGAAAAAAAATGATAGCTGATTTTCTTGACGATAATCATACAGATGAAAAAGTTAAATTACAATAGATCAGGTACGTTCTTTAAGCGAACGCCCTTCCAAAACTGATTAATTACTTTATTAGCTACCAGTCGCAACGATGTAGAACGTACGACAGAAGAAACTGAAGAAGAGGACCGACTTTTGCTTCCCGATATGAAAACGAGTTACGTGCCTGTAGATACGCATCCTCCATTTCAATCGCAATCGCCCCATCGACGAAAAAGAGACATCGACGGGGTACTTAATCTCCAAACAAATTCAAGACGATCTCAAATTTGGTTTTCTGATTAAAAAATAACCCTCTTTCCTCCTTTTTTTTTTTTTACACATTTCTCTTACCGTTTTTCATATTTTCGCGTCTCATTCTCTTTTATTTTCCTGTTCTATTCCCATATCCTTGAGTCTGCAATCGTTATATCCCGACACACATGTCACAAGTGGCAAGAAAATATCCCGAAGACAACACGATCCTTTTCAGGAGAATTACACGAGGGACGGTTTCAAATTGGACAATCGAGCGACGTCTTCGTCTCGTGCACACGCTCGTGTAACTAACGGCAAATTGGTAGAATCCCTTTTAAGGGAAGAATCAGATAGGAAAAGTAGTAGATCAGAGAGATCCTTCTCGTCTTCAGACAGCGTGAGGCTGTATGATAGAATCGACAGAATCAAGGTAATACAAGTGTAAATCCTACACTAATGATTAAAAAATTGTTATTATTATTATCAGTAATTCTCGTAGTTACTAGAAATAGATATAATAGTTCAAAATGTTCAATATTTTAATAGTTTTTTTATTCATATATATATGTATAATATCTCTTGATATAGTTATACAAATTCGCTTCTCTATACTTGTTTTGTATGTGTGTGTGTGTGTGTGTGTGGGTGCGTGCGCGCGCGCAGGGTGTGATTTTTAACAAAGTGAGCAGGTAGAGCGAATTTAACTGAAGAATCGATAAGTCTACCATCTTGCAATTTTCGCAATAGTTAACGAGCTATTAATTTCTAATGATTGCCGAATAAGGACTACTTTAACCAATTTCTATTGATTATTAATTGGAACTGGCCAATCGCAGTTGAAAATGCGATTCTAATTTCGATTCCAATAGACTAATCGTCGATCAAAGTTAATCAGAGTTGGTCTAGGTGGTCCTAAGCGGATAAACACATAAGACAATTTTAAGATATATATATGTAATGAGTATTACATATATGTATATTTCAGAGATTTTTATAAAATTTTTAAAGAAATTTTACGTGTTGATTTTAGACATTCTGCCTACTGAGTAACTAAAAAAAATTACAGAAATTTCAAAATGGTAGAGTACTAGCACTTTTCGATTCAATTTAGTTCATTCTATTTGCTCATGAGCACTCTGCAAAAAAAACTTACAAGAAACTTTGTACGTAAATATAACGTATACATATTTATATATGTATTATTACATGTATTGAAAAAGAATATATATATATATATATATATTATATAATATATATCATTAATTAGAATATATATGATATCAATTTGCAATAATATTTTGTAAAGATTTAATCGATGTGATGATTATCAAATAGGCGTGAAAAAAAGAAGAAAGTATCTATACACATAGCAAAAATTAATGGAATTAAATTAAAAATTCCTTTTCTTTTCTGTGACATTTTAGTATACAAGGTGGCAATGATTTTATCACCATCATTTAATCACCATCATCATTATTATCAGAGACATCTGTGTGTATGTGCGCGTGCTTGTGTAATTAATTTGTGATGGGACTCTTTGGATTATTATTAAATTTTGCACAGGTGACGAATGGTGACACGATCGAAAACAACAACGCGCAGAACATTGAAGAAAATAATTTCTTAGGTGATTATAATCCAGAAAAACAGGTTGATGATCTGCATTTATGAAAGTAGTGGAATGAAGTGTAATTATTAGGTCAATCGGAAAGTTCCGTCCGTTTTTTTTTTTTTTTTGCAAAAAGTATGATTTCATTTAAGAAACAAAATGAAAAAGTACATCAATCAAAATATATTGCCCATCGTTAGCAATGACTTTTTCCCATCTTTCGGGCAGTAAGCGAATTCTGCGGCGAAAGAATGATTCATCCTTGGAGGCTATTCAGTCAGAGACCAATTTTTCGACGTCTTTATAAGAATTGGAGCGTTTCTCAGCAAGTGCGTGTGCATTAACAAGTGGTAGTCGGAAGGGGACACACAGTCTGGTGAATAAGCCGCAATGGGATAACACTTTAAAACGAAGTGCTTCCAATGTTTCCTTAACAGCCTTAGTGACATGAGGTCGAGCGTTGTCGTGAAGCAAAATCACTTTATGCTGTTTTGTCTCATATTCTTGTCGTTTTTCGCGCAATGCTCGGCTCAAACGTATTATTTGTTCTCGACAGAGATCCCCTACGACTGTTTGACCAGATTTCAACAGCTCATGGTACGAGAGTCGTTCAATAAGTCTTTAGAAAAAAGTAGAAAAAAATTTTTTTTTGGGTACATTTTTTTTTTATTTCTCAACATAATCTCCTTCCAGCTCTATACATTTTTCTAAGCGTTTTTCCAAATTTTTTAAGCCGTCCAAAAAGTAGGATTTCGGAAGCTCCTCAAAATAGGCATTTGTTTGGGCGATATGACCTTCTCGTTAGACGTAAACCGTTGGCCAAGCCATTTCTTCAAGTTTGGAAATAAGAAAAAGTCACTGGAGGCCAAATCTGGTGAATACGTTGGATGTTGTAATAATTGCAACTTTAATTCCATAATTTTGACCATCGCAACTGCGCAGGTGTGTACCCGTGCATTGTCTTGATGATCTAATTAACTTCAATCGATAACAAAAATGAAACTACGTGATGGACATGGCTGAAACTCTAACAGCTGACTAGTTAGGAGTGCTGCTTACTGGGAAAAATTCATTTTCGATACTACGAGGAGCCTTCTCTTGGATTTTCTAAGGACTTATTGAACGACCCTCGTACACTACACCCTTCTGGTCCCACCAAATAGATCCACTTTTCATCGCCAGTCACAATTCGATGCCCTTGCTTTGTTGCCTAGCAAACAGAATTTCGCAGGTGGTTTTTCGCCTTTCAATGTCTCTTGGCTTCAATTCATATATGGGACTCATTTCTCTTTCTTGTAGATCTTTCCTATAAGGCTTTTAAATGATCGGAAATAACAGATTGAGTACAATTTAATGCTTCTGCAAGTTGTTTTTGTGTTTGACATGGGTCTTCATTCACCAATGCCTGCAATTCTTTGTCTTCAAATGCAGCTCTTGGTCGTCCAGAACGCTCTTTGTCCTCCATATCAAAATTACCACTTTGAAAGCGTCGAAACCATTCTCTGCATGTTTTATCGGAAGGAGAGACTATCACCATAAACTACTACAAGCATTCGATGAGCTTCAGCTACAGTTTTCTTCTGTTTGAAGCAAGAGATTAATACTTCACGCAAATGACGTTTATTTGACTCAAATTTCGACATTTTCGATGCAGTAAGAAACAATGTTATTGATGCAAACGTATACTTTTATTTATATACCGAATTTTATTGACAGATAGTAAAACTAAAAATTTAAGCTTGATTTAGACATTATAGAGTTATCGACAGTTCCAGCTATAGATACTCGCCGCTAGATAAACTGAATTTTCCGATTGATCTAATATATATATTACTATATTTTGAATAATACTTAAAAACTAATATACAGGGTGTTTGAAATTAACCGCCAAATATTTCATATGTGGGTAGAACAGATTATACTGAGTCGAAAAGTCCTGTACCATTTTGTGATTGCAGTAATAGTTAACGAGATATTAATTTATAAAAATATTTAAATTCGCCCGGCCCATGCAAACGCGCGGCTGGATAGGACCGCCCAGCGAAACGCGCCGCGCGCGTTCGTCGTTGCTAGGCGTTGTTTATAACAAGCGTTGTTTATAACAAGCGGCAATAGTCGTCGCTAGACATGAGTCGCGTGCCTAGCGACGGCGAACGTGAACGCGCGCGGCGCGCTTTGCAGGGCGGTCCTATCCAGCCGCGCGCTTGCATTTGACGGTGGGCCGGGCGAATTTAAATATCTTTATAAATTAATATCTCGTTAACTATTACTGTATTCGCAAAATGGTACATCAGTAATAGTTAACGAGATATTAATTTATAAAAATATTTAAATTCGCCCGGCCCGTCAAATGCAAGCGCGTGGCTGGATAGGACCGCCCAGCGAAACACGCCGGACGCGTTCGCCGTCGCTAGGCGTTGTTTATAACAAGCGTTGTTTATAACAAGTGGCAATAGTTGTCGCTAGACATGAGTCGCATGCCTAGCGACGGCAAACGCACGCGGCGCGCTTTGCAGGGCGGTCCTATCCAGCCGCGCGTTTGCATTTGACGATGGGCCGGGCGAATTTAAATATTTTTATAAATTAATATCTCGATAACTATTACTGCAATCGCAAAATGGTACAGGACTTTTCGACTCAGTATAGTCTGTTCTATCCACTCATGAAATATTATGCGGTTATTCTCAGCCACCCCGTATATATATGTACATATATACACAGTAAAAAATAATACGTCGAATTTAACATAACTGTATGTCCCAAACAGTCCACTCAAATTTTTGGGTTAATTTAACACAAGAGATGAACATGTTAGGTTACACAAATATTATGTAAGAGAATAGATACAAAAAAGATAATATCGATACAGTTAGTAAACAAACCGTAGGAAGCATTTTTTTTCCGGAAAATAAACATTTATGATGTGTTAAATTAACACTCGATATATTAAAAAATTCAACACAAAAACTGTTAACACAGACAGTGAGTGGACCGTTTTCAACATAAATACGCAAATTTTTTTATTGTGTACATATATATATATATATATAATATATATGTATATATACGTGGGCAACTTGAAAAGTTTCTCAAGTTAGAAAGAAAACATTTTTTCGGAAAAATTTTATTTTATTTTTCAATATAATCTCCTTTTAATTCAATACATTTAGTCCAGCGGTACTCCAATTTTATCAAGCCGTCCAAATAGTACGATGGCTGAAACTCTGCAAAATAGACATTCGTGGCAGCGATGACCTCATTCGATGCGAATTTCTTTCCTCGGTGCCAAATCTTCAAGTTTAGGAACAAAAAGAAGTCACATGGGGCTAAATCTGGAGAGTATGGTAGATGAGGCAGCAATTCGTATCGTAATTCGATCAATTTTGCGGTGGCAATTGCGGATGAATGGGACCGTTGCGTTGTCGTGATGGAACAACACTTTTTTTCTTGGCCAAATGAGGGCGTTTTTCCTTCAATTCTCTGTCAAAACGGCCCACAGCAAGTCGGCGTAGTATTTTCCAGTAATCGTTTTCCCTTTTTCTAAGTAGTCGATGTGAATGATGCCTTTAGAATCCCAAAAAATGGTGGCCATGACCTTCCCAGCCGATGGAACTGACTTGGCTTTCTTCGAGGCCGGACGAAGTCCATTGCTTCGATTGTTGTTTTGTTTCGAGTGTGTAATAGTGAATCCATATGTTTCGTCCACGGTTACATATCGACGAAAAAATTCTCGTGGATTGCACTAAAACAGATCCAAACATTCCTTAGAGATGCAGGTCATACGCACGCGTTTATTTTCCATATCGTAAGCAAACGCGGCATTCATCGCGACGTCAGCTTTCTTATGCCCAATATTTCATACAAGTTAGATATGAAATACCCCTTCTTCTGAGATGCCTACCATCTCTACTGTCTCACGCAACTTCAAACGGCGGTCATTTATAACAGTATCGAGCACTTTATTGACCACTTCTTCGTTGGTAGCAGTTTTCGGGCGTCCACTACGTGGTTCATCATCGGTGTTGATACGACCACGTTTAAATTCGTTTACTCAAAAACTGATGGTAACCGAATAGATGTGCCATGAATCTCCTGCAACTCCGCTTGAACCTGCGTAGCTGCGTTTCCCCTTTTAAAAAATAGTGTTTTATCACTGCACGAAACTCCTTTTTATCAATTGTTGAAAAAATATTTGGCTTGCTTTGTTTGACTGCTCGTAACTAAATGACTAATTGATGCAATTGTCTGAAAATTTGACAGCAACCATAAAAGATGATGTTCTTTTTGGCCATTATATGTCTTTTTGCGATACGCGCGCAATCTTTTTGTGTGACTTCAGAAACTTTTCAAGTTGCCCACGTACATATACATATATAATATATTGATTCAGAGTATTCCCATTTTCTTACCGTCCAACAAATTTCAATTGAATTGTGATGCATTTTTCAATATATATATATAAAAAAAAGAAGCGATGTCATTTAATAATAATTTCGCGAACGTAGGTCTTGAGAAACGATCGAAGGAGGAATCGGCAAGAATCCAAGAAGAGAAAGACTCATTCTCCATTTCCATCAATGAAACATGGTTGTCGATGGCTGATGAACAAGTTGCGATCATAAACGACGAAATGCCTGATCTTCGTATATTGTGGAAAGGCGAAGAAAATAAAAAAAGTATCAGAGAAGCTCAAGGTATTTTTCTTTTATCCCTTAAAATTTCCTATTGACGCGTTAATATAATAAAACTCGGAAAATTGTATATTTTCAAAAATACCATGTATACAATATTTGTTTGTAAAACAATGTAACGAAAATATGGAATGCGATAAAAGAGATGCTAAAAAAAGGTTTATCTCAAATATAGCTCGAATAATGTTGAAATATATGGATAAGAGCGTGGATCCGTGTCAAGATTTCTATCAATACGCTTGTGGTAATTGGGCGAAACGAAATCCTATTCCGAAAGACAAAATCGGCCATGATAGTTTCGAAGTGGTCAGAGAGTCGTTGGATTCTGTACTAAAAGAATTGCTAGAAGACCCGATATCACGCGACACCGCCGGTGAGATAGACAGTGACGATGCTACGGTAAAAGCGAAACATCTGTTTCAAAGCTGTATGAATTACGGTAAGTAGGTAGGCTCACCTCACTCACCTGGCGTACACGAATAGATAAAAATAGATAGGCGTAGGCAAATTAATATATGTGTGCGCGTGAGCTTTTTAATGTGGTAAAAATGTGCCTAGAGATCTTGGAGCAACGTATGGAACGACCACTTATCCAGCTTTTGGATCAACTTGGTGGTTGGCCAATTCTAAAACCAAATTGGGATCCCGACAAATTCGACTGGCTTCTTTTAACCGCACAACTTCGATTGTACAATAATGATATATTAATCACAGAATGGGTAGGTCCAGATATGAAAAACAGCGACAAGTACGTGATACAGGTAACAGAATGTAATGACTCACCGTATATCGTATCATTCGTGTCTTTTGTCACAAAGAAGCTAACATTAGAAGCATTTCGTTCGCAGTTTGATCAAACATCGCTTGGACTTCCTACAAAAGATTATTTCCTTCAGCCATCCAACGCGATTTATCTAAAGGCATACAAGGATTACTTAATGGAAATTGCAATCTTACTTGGTGCATCCTCAGATAATGCAACCATTGATGTCGAAGAATTAATTGAATTCGAAACACAACTCGCGTCAGTATGTATTACTTTCTCCTCTATTCATATTAAATGTATTATCATTTTCTGTTCAGGATCACTATATTGATCTCGAATCTCATAGATTACATTGTCATCGGATGAAAGACGAAACTCTTCAGAGTCCTATCAACGAATGAATGTAGATAAACTGAGTGCACTTGTGCAAATCGATTGGTCTCGTTATTTGTCGATCATTTTGGCTCGACCGATACATTTTTCTGAGCCAATTGTCATCTTTGCATTGCAATACTTCCAAGATTTGGTTGTTTTACTTTCGAAGACACAACCCAGGTATAATACACTTACATAGATTTTACGTACATTGCGACTTTATTTTTCTTGATTTTTCTTTTGACCCAAGACTTTATGTGGTTTTTTTGACTTTTTTGGCAACACAGATGTGTAAAGCGATTAATCTTTTTCTTACTTTTGCAGAACAGTGGCAAATTATCTTTTATGGAGATTTGTGCGGAACAGAGTAAACAATTTGGACAATCGTTTCCAGCAAGTAAAACAAAAGTTTTACTATATAATGTTTGGTAGAGAAGAAGTGCCATCGAGATGGAAAATCTGCGTAACTCAGGTCAATTCTAATATGGATATGGCCGTTGGTTCGATGTTTGTCAAAAAGTATTTCGACGAAAACAGTAAAAACGACGTGAGTATTCTTCCTTGACTTGAAGAATATACATATATATCTTTTTTGTTAAATATAAATAAGAGAATGTTTCTTTTATCGACAGACATTATTGATGACTCGAGAGATACAGCGATCCTTTAGAGAGCTGCTAGATAAAACTAATTGGATCGACGACGAATTAAAGCGCTTGGCGACTGAAAAAGTAAACGCTATGGTGCTGAGAATCGGCTATCCAGACTTTATTCTACAATCACATGTACTGAACGAGTGTTATAAAGATGTAACGTACACCTTCACATATAAAATATCTATTTTGAGACACATCGTAAGGACATGTAATAAAGTATGCATACAAAATGAGAATGAATTGCTAATATAATTAATATTTTAACGCAGGTTGTAATTCGACCAGACAAGTACTTTGAGAATACTTTAAATATCATACAATATTTAAACAGAATGGAACAAGCTCACATTGGACGTACTGTCGATAAAACTTTGTGGGACACTGGTCCAGCGGTCGTTAACGCTTACTACAGTCGCAATAAAAATCAGATAAGTCAGTTTATATTATTGGAGAGGAAGCTATATTCGTATCTTTTTATCTTTCTTTCGTGATTTTTTTATGTTTTAAAAATCATTCCCTAAACTGTTTAAAACTTTTATTATGTCTTTTAGTATTTCCAGCGGGCATATTACAGCCACCTTTTTATCATAGATTTTTTCCACGAAGTTTAAATTACGGTGGGATCGGTGTTATAATCGGACACGAGATTACTCATGGATTTGACGATAAAGGCAGATTGTTTGACAAAAATGGGAATCTTCATGGGTGGTGGAGAGAGGAGGCGATTGATGGATTTAATCGGCGAACACAATGTCTGATTGGTATGGAAAGAGAAAATTTCCACTTTCATCAATTGCGATAGACATAGGAAGATATATTTATAATTGGATATTTTTGTGTTTTTGCAATCGAGATCTTCCTCCTTGCAGATCAATATGCACATTATACCGTGACAGAAGTTGGGATGCAGATAGATGGTGTTAATACGCAAAGTGAAAATATTGCTGATAACGGCGGTGTTAAACAGGCATTTAGAGTAATTCCATAAATTTTCCTTCTCCAATTTGAATCGAAGAATTTAGTTTTACCGATTGGAAAGTTTGTTTTCTTCGCAGGCTTATGAGAGATGGCTACGTTCGAACAAAGAGGAAGACGAAACGCTACCCGGAATAACTGTGACGGCTAAACAATTATTCTTTCTGCATTTTGCTCAAGTGTGGTGTGGTTCGATACGTCCCGAAGCGGCGAGAAATAGACTGAAAACATCTGCACATTCGCCCGATAGATTTCGAGTGATCGGCACGCTTTCCAATTTGAAAGACTTTGCTCAGGTGTTCAATTGCCCTCCTGGTTCTCCCATGAATCCTGTGAGCAAATGCTCGGTATGGTAAAATGTGAATGTGTGTGCGTTCGTGCGCGTATGTACATGTATGTACCTGAGGTGTGCGAATCAAGCATGTATAAGATCGAATCGAATCCTTTTTATTTGAAAATGAATCAAATTCGAATAAAATTTTCATGCATTGACATATATATCACACAGCTGAAAAAAAAACCTTAAAAAGCTGAAAACTCTCATTTTGAATGTAGCGGTACAATACGAGTATATCGAAAAGTTAATAATGAGATATAAATGTACTAAAAATAATAATTTTTCATTATACCTGTATATGTTGAAAATGACTCATTTTCTTGTTCATATCTGGATTGATCGAGAACACTCGTACTATAGATCATATTCAACGCAGCCAATAAACTCCAATGATAACTGACGACACGCGATGAATAAGCGCACATGCACGAAAATTGGTACGCGTTGAAAATTGTTATAAGATTAATCGCAGGAGATAGCAAATAGAATAGGTAAATAAGTTATTCGAAATCGAACAATCGATGATTCAAAATTTCAAACTTATTCGGTTTCGAATCTCTCAGATTCGAAAACAAATTTATAGTGGAATTTGAATTAATTCGCACACCTTTATACATATATACATACACGTACAATACATAGTTTGTACGTATATCGATTTATCGCTATCACAGTTTTTTCTCATTTGTCATATGATTTATAACGCAATTCATCTCAAACGTGCTCTTTAAGATTTCCAGCATTTTCTAGAAATATATAAAATAATGGAAAATATATAATTTAAAAAAAAATTGTTTATTGGATACGCGCTTTATATCTTGTTCTAAAATATTTGATAGAGAAAGAGAGAGAGAGAGAGAGGGAACGTGCGGAGAAGGGAGAGCAGTATATTATAAATGGGTAAAATGTGAGCTTGTGAAGTTTTATTTGTACAGAAAAATGTCGGATAAAGAAAATACGAGTAGCCCTGATAATAGATTTTGATGTGTTATAGACCGGTATTCATAATCGGTTCTTATTTCAAGATTGTCTTAAATAATAAAATTATTTAAGATGCTAATACAGCCCTCTGATTGGCTTACGACATTTTAAGACTGTACTTTTAAGCCAACCTCAATAAGAATAAGGCCCGATTGCACCAACGTAATTTCTATTTTAAGTGAGACTTAAAACTGTCCCTATCTCTGTCTCTCTTTCGACTTTAAAACGAGATAGATAGTGTTTTAAGTCTCGCTTAAAATCAAAATAACGTTGATGCTAGCGGGCCTAAGTCTAATTCTAAGCCCGGATCCTCATACGGGCAACAGCGCTTTGACACCAAACGCTGATTGGTGAAAAACCGGTGGCGAGGGTAAAATTTACCCCCATAACCCGTTTTTCACCAATCAGCGTCCGGTGTCAAAGCGCTGTTGTCCGTATGAGGATCCGGGCTAAGTCTACTTGATGATCATAATAAACAGTTTCTCTGTTTCTGGAAATATCTGCCTTTCCATGTTATGTTTTATCTTTTAAGAAGAAGGAGCATATACCACACGCTGGTTAAAAGTAGCGAAAATTTCGTATATTTAATACTACTAAATTTACATAATTATAATAAACGTTTCGGTCATTAATGTGACCATCTTCAGTATATAAAAAACTTATAATTTAATTCCCTAATATATTTTAAATGAAACTAAGTGCTAGAGCACAACTTTTCGCATGTTTGTCAATTATTCTATACTATAAGATATTAAACAGTTATAATTTGTCCAAATATAAAAGTCAATTCGCAATAAAATGGTGTCAAAATTAAAAAGTGATTCGCATAACGTAACAGTATACAATATAATTTTCTTTCACATTCTCTTTTTGTAACGACCAACGTTTAGTCCTTGGATGTCGTCGAAATTCCTTTGAGACAGAGTCTGGAAACTTTTGTTCTCAAATCACAGTTGATGCCAATACTTTAACAAACTCATCATCTGAATTGTAAGGACATGAAGAAAATTATATTGTATACTGTTACGTTATGCGAATCACCTTTTAATTTTGACACCATTTTATTGCGAATTGACTTTTATATTTGGACAAATTATAACTGTTTAATATCTTATAGTATAGAATAATTGACAAACATGCGAAAAGTTGTGCTCTAGCACTTAGTTTCATTTAAAATATATTAGGGAATTAAATTATAAGTTTTTTATATACTGAAGATGGTCACATTAATGACCGAAACGTTTATTATAATTATGTAAATTTAGTAGTATTAAATATACGAAATTTTCGCTACTTTTAACCAGCGTGTGGTATATGCTCCTTCTTCTTATTTTTATTTTTAACTCAACCACTTGATCTTTAAATAAGTTTTATCTTTTGTCCACGAAAAACATGAAAAAGCAAATACATTAATATTAAGGCCGATATTCATAGTCAGTTCTTATTTGAAGACTGTCTTATGCCTGGTTTATGCTTCAGGTCTTAATCTCAAGATCCTAAAATTTAACCAATTAAGCTACCAGTTCTAACCGAAATTTGAACTCTATTGGCTGAATTTTAGGATTAAGTCCTTAAGATCGAAGCATAAACCAGGCATTAAGTATGTCTTAAGATGCTAAAGCGGCCCTCTGGTTCATAACTCTTCAAGACTGAACTTAAGACGGTCTTGAATATAAGAACTGACTATGAATACCGGCCTAAAATCCTTTGCCAATGAAAAATGCGAGAACTTAGCAAATGTACGATAATCTAAAAAAGCAAATTATTGAAATTAGATACACATTTGATAACAATGCATAGAATTTTAACCAATCTTAAACCTATTTGTCATTATGTTGTCATCATTAGCAGCATGAGGAAAATCACCAATTCTTTGATACTTCTATAAGGATATTACTCAAGTCAACACTGCGAAATTACACACCTATCAATCCTTATAGGTTAAGCTCAAAGCGAATTTAGCCAAGGTGGCCTAAAGTTGTTAGGAATTCTGAAGTCGAGGATGGACTATGAATACGGCCCTAGAGTAAAAATTGACCAATCACAGTCGATTATTTTTCTTGCATTCAACTATAATTGATCAATTTATTACGGTTTTACGACTTTGGGCCTCAACAAGGTTGTGGTGGATCCAGTCTTTAGCTCTGAGCACAAGCACTGCCGTAACATTTAACGTCATACGCCAAAGCTTGTGCGTTATTTACGTCTACAACTTAAGTATGTAGTAAAATGTTACGGTAGTGCAGACCTAAAGACTGGATCCACAACCTTGTTGAGGCCCGAAGTCGTAAAACCGTAATAAATTGATCAATTATAGTTGAATGCAAGAAAAATAATCGACTGTGATTGGTCAATTTTTTACGGCTTTACGACTTATTTAGGGCCTCTTATGGGCCTTCTACCATAAGTCATAAATCGGAAGAAACTAAAAATTGACGACTGTGATTGGTCCATTTCTAGCTTATGACTTATGATTTGTGACTTACGGCTTATTGTAGAAGGCCCATTAGGGTGCAGTCACATGGAGTCAGAAATAACGGAACGGAACAGTAACGGAACATTGATAGAAAAGAGATACAACAATCCTATCTCTTTTTTATCAATGTTCCGTTACTGTTCCGTTTCGTTATTTCTGACTCCATGTGACTTAAAGCGAGGTTGTGGACCCAGTCGTATAAATACCGACTATGGATTGTTTTTATCTATATATTCTGATACTTTTTCTAGCTAATTTTACAAATTTATCGAACCTTGATACTGTACTTTGTTTAAATAAGTTATTAAATGGGAACTTTCTATATCAGTAATATACCCTTATATATACGTACAATATATAGACTTACGGTTAGAGAACATAAATAATTAATAGTTAATATTCGACGAACATTGCAAAACATTTTTTTAATTCTTTGTTTGGATTATACATACATGTATATATATATATATACCGAAAAAAATCGTATCATAAAAATGAAAAGTTTAAGCCATATTCAAAAAAGGATACTCAAAAATTTAAACCTTTTTATCTAATAATAATATATATCTATCAGTTACTTTTCATGGTAATATACCTATTATTATTAAATAAAAAGGTTTAAATCTTTTAGTATCCTTTTTTGAACATGGCTTGAACTTTTCATTCTTATATGATTTTTTTCGGATATCATTTACTTTTTAGAGTATCACAAATATATAAAAAAATGATTTAAAAATATTATATAACGGAAGAGAGTGTAATACGACAGAAGAGAGGGGTGATGGGTGGAAGGGGAGAAGGTCCGGTAGGTCGAAGATGGTGAAGGTGAGTGAAAGGTGAGAGGGATGTTAGAAAGTTTTAATATGGCCTTGAATGTGGACAGAGAAGAAGAAGAAGGAGAAGACGTTTCTTAATTTTTCATTAAAATCATCACTTTTCGATCGCTTGTATTTCCAGAACGGCTTGACCGATTAAAAATTTTTTTGACTCAAATTACTCGTGACGATGTCACCTTTCAGGACATATAACGATCGATTCAAAATTTTTTATATTTTAGTAGTTATGCATCCCCCAAAAATGGACTTTGGTGGCTCGGGATAAGAGACTTGTAATATCTGACTGTGCGAAAGTGACAGCTATACGAATTGGGAACGTTTGTCTTGCTTTAATACGCTATTGAAGTGAGGCAGACATTCTCAATTCGCATAGCTGTCACTCTCACAATTGACCTCTTATTGCTCCAACCTCTACCACTTCAAGCCTCACTAATTATTGATTAATATATTTACATGAATAAGCAATTAATATTTTTCTTTCTCTTTATGAAAACAATTTTGTATTAACGATTTATTTATACACTATTATGATGATGTATCAATGTTGATTTGTAAAAAATGAAATTTATGAAGAAGGAAAAAAATACATCGATTCTCAAAACCGATATCAATTATAATACGATGATATAAGATGAGATATATATATATATATTGTACAAATGATTTGTATTTTTTCCCTCAGATAATAGTATCGTTAATATGTATATATACAATATGGACCATCTTTTGTTATCTTTCTTCATTCTTCTTCTTTCTTCCTTCTTCCCCCTACCCTCGTCCTTCTCTCCTTAATTTTCTCAAATAGAAAATATAAACACACGCGTTATCATTAGAAGAGTCGGAGAATTGTGTGGGTGTTGCAAAATTGTCAAACAAACTTTAATTACCACGATGACCTTTGTAGTCATAATTTTATTATGTATAGCCGTTATATATATAATATATTTATATATATATATAAATCATAATTACGAGTCTTAATATTTTTTACTTTCTATGATATTTTATCAAAATTGGCCTATTAAATATATATAAATATACGTTTTGCGTGTACTACTTCCATTCAACTAACGAAAAGTTAATGGAAATATACCTTGACCACTCGTTCGATTGATCGCGTTATTATCCGTATATTTTAACAAAGTTTTCACTTGTGTAGAAACTGGTATTCCAAAATGTCTTCTTCATCTGCAAAGAAACAAATCATTTTATATTGCTATACAAAGCACAACATATGATTGTTTTGTTTATAAAACTTCGATATGCATAACAATATATTCGCGCGCGCGCGCGCGCGTGTGTGTGTGTGTGTACACAGTTACAAACTAGATTTGTATACAAGTGGATAATGCATTCAAAACTTACACTATGTTTAACCAAATGTACAATGAAAAAGTTATCTGCCATTTATAATCAGCTTATCCAATTAATATTTCTAATTAAATACATATGTATATAAGGACATAGAAAAGATGTAACGTATTGTTCTGACTAACTATGTACAACGATCGATTTTATTGATGTAAATTGACCCCGCAGAAAGTATAATAGTTTAAGAAAGACTTGAGAAAAATATACTGAATGTGGCGCTAGGTATGTGTTGTGAGAAAATAAAGATAGACTCACAGATATCGTCTCTGCTATTGTTGTCCAAATCACTAGTTTGTGTATGACTCTCCTCGTGCATACGTCGCCCTGCGTGTTTCGTCAACGCAGCACAAGGCACAAAAATGATTCTGTTATATATCTGACAAATGAGGCGTGATGCAACGTATGTACAATAACGATATTATATATATCGAAAATAGATGTTTCCTATTCTTCAGGATAGGAAGACGATACAAACAGATAAAGTGATAAACTTTTCATAAGAAGAATAATTTTAACACATGAGATAAAATTTTATAAATCTACACGAAATCTTATTCCGTTTATGCGACTATGCTACAATTAATATATAATTAGCAATCATAATATACTCGCGAATACAACAAACGGTTTTTAAAAACGCAAATATAAAATTTGATTGTAAAAAGATATATGATTTGTCAAATGTATTGCACTTATATATATATATATATATATTTCAATATGTATCGATAAGCCATTTGTATTTATGCAAATATTTACATTATAATTCAATGCAATTCAATTAAAGTCGAACGTATGCAATTTTTCGCAAAACGACAAAATTGATAAAAATGCATTCGTGAAAATTTAGGGATATTAGCGAGCAATATTATCGAATTCTATTCTCTGCTTATAAAGTTACTTTTAGTCGATACAATTACATATATAAATAAAATGTGAAAAATATGCAGTACATTGTATATCAGTTAGAAAAATTGTATGACGTTTACATTGCAAATATATAGCTTCATGACGTATAACAAAATGATAAAAGACTTGATGTAACGAAGGATAAAAAACAATCTTTCCGTTAAAATAATTATTTGTTTCTACATCGTAAAAATATGTCACACACTTTAAACATATATATTTAAATTGCGAATTATTAATTGATATCTAAATATACATGAAGCTATATTTATTTATTACAAACTCGTCGTATGTACAGTTGAACATTAAACGCATAGCGAGCGAGCGAGCGAGCGAGCGAGCGAGTGAGAGAGAGAGAGAGAGAGAGAGAGAGAGAGAGAGAGAGAGAGAGAGAGAGAGAGAGAGAGATATATTATCGCGCCTATTCTCTTGCTCTCTTAACGCAATCATATAGTGTACACAATGCAAATAAAATTAAAGGTATTTCAAAGATATTATTGTCGACAATAGAAAGGAAAGAAAAATTGCTTTAACCAATACTGTACAAAGAGTTATCCTATGGGTTCAAAGTTCATCTTGGCATACGACGGTAGTAATGTAAAAAAAACCAAGTGTAATTACTCTTCTTACTGTAGCATCGAATCGAGTATGGAAAAGAATTTCCTGTTCGTAACAAGATGCGATAAATAAAGTTGACGTAATGTAACGGCAAGGCATAAATAGACAGAATATACAATACTTTGATATTATACGATGTAAAACACACTTAAAAACACTTAAATGAAACATATATATAAACTATTCGCTCTTTATATGAATTATGCATGAGAGATAATAACAATAAACATAATTTTTATAAGAAGATTATGCAAAACCTGTGCACAAGCATCTATATAAATCTCGCAGCTTTTTATAACACTGATAAGATGGCACATTTATGATCACGTAAAATTTACATACATGTACATTTCATTAAATTTCAATACAATGTTGCACAACGTAAAGACTAATTTTTTAATATTGAGCCTTATTACAAACATTCTAATTTTTTAATATATAGATGTATTATAATAACTTTACACAAAAAATACAAAAGTCTGTCACTTGTGTAAATGATTGATATCGAGATTTGATATCGTGTAAATGAGTTTCTAACGAATCGACAATTTTTACATATAAACACTTTTTCGTGAAAAACATTTCTACACAGAGATGTTGAAAAATTTTCCAAATAATAGAATGGACTGAATTACTAGACATTTAGAAACAATATCTTCTCGATTTTAAAGAAATAGCTGTCCCATTGTCGTAGACAACCCTAAAACGCAATCAATTAAATAATATTAATATATATATGTATACACACACACCACACACACACGCACGCACGCACGCACGCACGCACGCACGCACGCACGCACGCACGCACGCACGCACGCACGCACGCACGCACGCACGCACGCACGCACGCACGCACGCACGCACGCACGCACGCACGCACACACACACACACACACACACACACACACACACACACACACACACATATATATACACGTATATCTTCCCATCATATAAGTGCATGCATGTGCAGAGGATTCTTACAAATTTTCAATTTGTTTTCAGTTGAAGTAAACCGTGTGTTATTTACATGTTCATTTTTGTGCTTTATGCCTTGTACGAGCGTGCTGTTATGAAGTAATGATATAATTACACTTGCGTAATCAAGCGTGCATAATTGTAAACGTATGATAACAAAATATTATGGTAGAAAACACTTATTACACTAATTACGTCTCTGCAATACTATGTATAGAATACAGAATATGAATTATCTAAAATTTAAAACATAACGTCATGCAGAAAGACAACGGTAAATTTTTTTGAACATTATTTAGACCGATTTACTTGTGACACGTTTATCTCGATTTCTCTCGAAACGGAGAGAGGTACAAGTTCATTTGTATTAATAATGTACCTAATATCGTAATATTATATATGAAACTTTTTAAACATTTTATATGTGTTACGTATAAAATTGTGTGTGTATTATTAAATAAAAATTGTATGTGTATTATTAAATAAAAATTAACATTAGAGAAATATTTATTTACTATTAATGCCGATGGAAGAGAGAACAAAAAATATGAAATTTTACATGTGAGACGTCACGCAAGAGAACAAATGAGTAACAAACACGTAAATTTTATCACCATTTTGACTATAGAAAACAGGTTTATGTTTTGTTCGTTTACTCGAATCAAACTTTACGTTGTAACCCGTAAAGGCCATGGCACACAACAAACTTAAAACAGTAAGACATAAACAGTAAGGAAATCAAGATGTTGAACTGGCTACTGCTTACATTATAGCTTTACGGACTCTACTGTAATTGATCAATTTGCTGACTGCTTACGTTTTACTGCTTAAGTTTTTTTATGTGTCATGGTCCTAAGTCTATATCCACACACAACTTTGGTCTTAAGAGGCTGTGAGCCGTAAAGCCGTAAGAAATTGACTAATAATAGTAGAGTATGAGACGAATAAACGAGTGTGATTGGTCAATTTCTTACGGCTTTTACAGTTTACAGCAAGATTGTGGACCTAGACTTACTCTTTGAAATTATATTTTAGTATGTATACACCGCTATTACATGCAAAATATAGCTCAACATAACTTTAGATTTTTGTAAGTAAAATGCTGCTATGCAAAATGCAAATAATATAAAGATCTGTACAAAATGAATTAAAAAATGTTCAGATCTTATTCAAATCTGATATATATATATATAGGTGGCATTAGTGAATAAATACTTTGAATATTAGAAAAGCGTTAGCAACCGTGCATGAACATCGCAGTGCATGATAGAGTTTCATGATAATCACTACACTTTATCTCACAATCAGAATATGAAAATAGAAACAGAAATATTGAAAAAATTCGAGATAATTAATAAAAAAAAAAAAAGGAAAAGAGAAATATTTCAATACAGATTCATTATCAGCATAAAAATCTTTCTTTTTTATTTTACAAGCATAGTGTAACGGTTTAACGTGCTCAAGGTAATAAAATTATTCAAAGTATTCATTCACAATGTGTATAGATATATATTCTTTACTATATCTAGCTCTTTTTCTATTTACAACATCTACATAACATCGACAAAGAATTCACAAGGATTTCCCATCGCAATGCGAAATGATTGTCTACTACCAGATAAGTCTTGTTGATTCTGCTGATTCCCTGTTCCTGTTTGAATAGATTGTTCGGAACCACTGGAACGACTGCGGCTTCCGTTTGACCTCTTTCCGTTCGATCCATTACCATTGCCGGAACTTTTATTTGGCATTGATGGTACCGACGGATTATGCAGCTCTGATTCGGACGCCGAAGAGCATGACTTTAGATCGTGAATAGGTTCCTTGCAAATGCGTTCGCTACCCGCACTGCTACCACCTGTCAATAACAATATACATTCGTAAATATATGTATGTATACTTATACATACATGTACATGTGTAACATATACTACTGCTAATTAATTTCAATATATTATTTTCAATATTCCAGATTCTGGTTGATTTCCCTGTAGAGGATGAATACGATACGCGTTTGCACACAGAAATGAGTCTGCCTGTTATAAACTCTTTCATTCGCATGCTTCATATATATTTTTATACATTATATTTATATAAAGATAATTGAAAGCTGTAGTTTTTTCAAAGAAGCGAGACTAATAGCCGGATAGTGATCGATTTCTGGAAATTAAACAAATACACGCGTAAGATTACGAGATGCTCGTAGCAATATTTATATTTATGTGACCAAATGTTATTTCGAAACCTATTCTCCAACACATATATACAATGAAAAAATTCCAGTAATTCCAGTTATTCGTCTTATAATTGTTTGATACTGTGAAAACTTGTGAAATTTGGTCTCAATCAATCGTAAATGGCTTTCAGGAAGAAATTATCATTCGTAAAGCGATCTGCCATAGCCGCTTTGAGAAATGCAGAGCACAATTTACTTGCCTGGAAAAGATTTCTCTTTGTGGCTTGTAGTTTATCTTTAAGAGATTTGACAAAAACACAGGAATGTACATAATAAAAAAACAGAAAATTAGAAGTTCATCAGAATGTATTCCAAACAACTCGTTACATCTGTACTGCTTTGATGAAAATAAGGATAAAAAAACGTGTGTTACTTGTGATCATCAAACACCGCCTTGCAGCTTAAAGAGATATATTGCGGCACGGAAACTGTTACTTAGATCCATTAATAAAAGGAAGAGGCTATTGTGTGAGCTAAAAAGTACAGGAATTGGACTAGTTAAATAGAAGATATTTTTGACAGACGAATCGAAATTTGAAATGTTTGGAAACGCAAGTTCGTTTATCGTGCTACCTGTTTTTGTTTATTTACCGCACGATGAATGAAATTTTATACCTGGTGAAAAAATTTCGCTGAAATTATTTTCCACGTTTTGGAAAATAATTTCAGGAAACATTTCAGTGAGACTGTTGAAAATTTGCTGAAATTTTACTAAAGCGAATTTTTTAACTAATTATATTGAAAATAGCTGAAATTGAACTAAAATTTCTCTAAAATTTTGTTGAAAATCAATTTTTCACCTAAACTCGCTAAAATTAGACTTTTCTAAAATGTTGAAATTTTACTGAAAAGTACTCCAAAACGTGGAATAATTTCAGTGAAATTTTTCCACCAAGGATATAGCCTACAGTTAAGCATGGAAGAGATTCCATTATGGCCTGAGGATATTTTCGATATGATGCAGTTGGTGACTTGGTAAAAATCGAATCATGGACTCCAGGCTTACTACAAAATCCTGATGCGCCACGTCGACTCTTCCGACATCCGTCTAATAGATCGTGATTTCATACTATAATACAATAGAGTATGAAATATGTTTCCAGTTTTTTTGTAAAAAGTATATTTAGTCAAAACAACAACAGATGCTAAAAAGCACGATTTGGCCAAACAGAAATCTGATTGTAATTTAATTGAATTCCTTTGGGATTATCTGGATTACAGGTGTGGTCAAGATATGCAAATAACCTTTAGTCCAAATTACCTTTGAGAGTTGCTGAGAATTGAACAAGAGAACTGAGCTATAATCAGAGCTGAAACTTTAGACAAACTGACCGAGAGGATGCTCCACGTTTGCTGCTGTGATTGCTGCTAAGAGTAGATACTTTGACGAGAGAAAAATTTAAGAATATCAAGACTCTAATTCGCGTGGTCGAACATGTATGTATAAATAAAACATGTTTATTTGTCTAACCAAACCTATATTCATCACAATAAACTTGAATCTTTTGTTCATTATTTTCCAAAAAATTGATGCTCTGCTGTATTGAAATAATGAGCAGTAGTGTATGCACGCATCAGAACAATTTATAAAAAGTAATCGATTTTACCCGAACCACTGTGCACGCTTTCTTCTCGATGGTAACCGTACACGGTGGGCTCATTTGTAAAATTAAATGGCATGGGACTGTAACCTGTTGCCGAATGTGGTGCGTATGTTCCCGAATAAGGCATATCCCAAGCGCTTGGTGGTGGCAACGGACTAACTGTATCATTATCTAGTTTCATGTTACTCATGGCTGAACACAGATCACCAAATATGTAATAACATTGTTCGGAAAATGTAATTTTGTTCACTGTATGTCGAATGTAACCAGCTTTTAACATAAGCGACGCATATTTCCTGGCATCGCGTCGATCAAGAAATCCCTCTACGTGCGTATTGAGCCAGTCCACAACATCCGCGCCAATAAATGCATTTGGAATAGTAATTTTTAGCCACATTCGATCGCGTATCTCTAAGCCAGAGTCAGATCGAGCCATCGCTCGTACTATTGTTGGCATATCGGTATGAACAGTCAAGTGGAGCTCTTCCAAGGGTCCTGAAAAGATAAGTAAGCAAGATGTCTAATTGACATAGTCAGCCTATATAATTGTTTATTTGACTTGTTGAGGGATTTGATTTCATATTTTCAAAGTAATCAAAGATTAAGTATTTGCAGAAATCACGTTTTTATGAATACAGTACATAAATAGTGAAGAATTTTCTCATTTCATTTGAAATTGTATTTTACTTCGAGAGATTTGTTAAGGGGATGCTGGAGTTACCGACGGAACACTCATTTCGTATTTCTCGTGCCATTTCGTTGTCCTTATACAGAATAAAAAATCCTTTTCCAGAATAAAAGGGAAAACACAAACAAATGTGGAAAAGTCCAAACCGGTTTGAGAATCCTCCAAAAATTACCACATAGATTCTTTCTTTACATATATATAAAGGAATGCAAGCATATATCCAAACAAAAAAGACTTTTCCACATTTGACTAATTTATAAGATTATCATGAGACCTTCAAATTATGATTCTGAAACTTACAAAAGAAATGGCACGAGAAATACGATTTGAGTGACATAACCTCACATTCAAGCGATATATAGGATGTAGCAGAACAAGAAATGTACGCGTAACGTTTTACTTAATGGCTTATTTAATGTACGTAATGTTTTACTTAATGTATGTAAATATTTTCTTGATGTATGTAATAGTTTAATTGGAATTAAAAATCTGTTCTATCGACATCGATTAAGTTCGGCCGTTTCTCCAGCATCGCCTTAAATCTTTTAATTCGAGAATTTGTCATAAAAATATCTTCTCCTCCTCCCTCCTCCTTTCTCTCTCTCTCTCTCTCTCTCTCTTTCAACAAAAATTTACTTTTAATTAATTCGATATATCTATTGAATTTTACACATTGCACTATAACTTACGTTCAGTATCTGGCAACGTACTCGCAAGACTGCTCGAAGTTGAAGTTAACGTTGTGGCACTTGGTGGACGAGGCGGGAAACCTTCGCCTCTTATAGCGGCCGTGTGCGCTACCCACGCACCAGGATCTATGGGACGTACCGGCTCTGTACGCGGTATTGTAAAGTAACCTTTTGGATTTGGATCCCAACATTTCGCAACAACGAGTTTTATTGGTCTAAAAAGAAGAAATAAAATATAACAATCTAACTTAACTTTATTATATCTATAATAAGTCTTATAGCGTTTTTCATTGGTAGAATTGGCGCGCACGTTTCTAATTTGAATGTAACAGTAAGATGACTCTCAATCTCAATTGATAAAATGTCCAATGTACATATGTGTATTTTATCAAACAGAATAATAAAATGTATTGAGGATTTCGCAATTTGATTAGCTTCTACATTTTTATTAAACATACATCATTATATCGTTTGTATACAACGGCTTTAAAGTGTACTGAGTGCGCACCAATTCTGTCAATGAAAAATGTTATTACATTTCATAAAGAGATATCTTACCCTGGTTTTTGCACTACTTCACGCAATACTCTTACCGCTTCGTCATTGGACATATTTTCAAAATTAATATCATTGACTTGAAGAATCATATCACCAGGTTCTATTCGACCGTCTAAAGCAACCGCTCCCCTATTTCAGGCAAGTCGTAGTATAACAAATGGTACAACATTATTACAACATATTGTATATAGTCCACCGTATAATTTAATCTTTTACTTAATTTATAATAGCAAAAAAACTTTGAAAAAATGTTCACACAAAATGTAACATAAATAAAAATCTACAGAATCTGCTGTTCCCATGTAGTTTAATACAAAAATTAGATTGACATCTTAAACTATTATTATAAGGAAATTCAATTATATTCACATTAAAATTTATGCAATAGTTAATAAAGACACACACATTCTACGGAAATTGTTAATGGAACAACAAGAGTCTCGATGCAAAAGCTGATAAAGATACATACACTTGCAAATGCAATTGAAGGAGAACGTGAACATTAATGTATGTATGTATGTATGTATGTATGTATGTACGTACGTACATACACCCACCCACGTATGTATATACTAACCCTTTCATTATTGAACCAACATATATTCCACCATCCCCGCCTTTGTTGCTTTGACCGACAATACTAATACCAAGAAAATTAACAGTATCCATATTTAGTGAAACAGTTATAATATTTAAAGACATTGTACTGTCAGTAATACTACTAAATGACGACGTTCGAGACATAGGTGGTAATCTGTGTCGTCGTTTTCTTTGCGGTCGACGTCGATCTATAACAGAAAAATTTACATATATGATACATGTCTAGAGATAAGATAAAAGATTCGTCTGTGATATCATAAAATTCCGTTTTTTTTTCCTTTAAAAAGAATATCCTCTCAAATAACATTTCTCTTACCAAGTGTACCCCTGTCGACCGTACTACTCATGTTGGTATGTCGACCCGTTGTCGACGTGATACGACTGCTAGCATCGTCGTCTGATTCTAAAAACGTTGTCGTTTCTAGATCTGAACTCAAAATCGAAGCAGTTTCATATCCATGACCAGAACGATGTTTCGAGTGACCATTTATCCGGAGTCCTGTATAATGCACACATTGCAAGAATTAAAAGATTACTATACAGGATATCTTACATCACTGACGATAAATATTATTATTATAATACGGATATTTTGCGACATTTTAAAACGAAAAGTTTAATATCAAAATGTCCAGGCTCAGAGATAGCAAAATGTCCAGTATGAAGATTTGACAATAACAAAATTCGATATCTTTACATTGATTACCTTACCATCCCATAGCGCACGAAATTCTGGCTCTATTATTCGTAATTTTAAGATACGTATAATGTTTTATTTATTCTAATAATATATTAACAAAATAATAATATTAATAAACAATGTTTTACATGCAAATTTTAGTGCAAGTATAAAGTACATAATATACACATGCAACAGAGTTGGAAAGCAACATATTACTCGTAGTACCGTTATCGTGTTTTCGTTACTTTCTTTCAGTAACAATCGTTATTTTTTTCCGTCTATAAAGTTGGAAACACAATGAAAAGTACAGACAACAGGGAATGAGAGATTTCAACCAATCAGAAAACGTTCATTGTATTATACATGGTTTCTCATGTGTTTTTCATTGTGTCTTCAGCTTCCCCTAAAGCCTATGATACAAAGAAAAACGCAAGACAGTAAAAGACGTGAGCAGTAAGTAAATCGTAAAAATTTAAAAGAATAATAGACACTACACAAGTCTCTTATTCCCAGCCACCATTTTTGAGGGGTACATAATTACTAAATACAAAAAATTTTGAATAGCACGTAATATATTCTGAAAGGCGGCACGAGTGATTTGTGAGCTAAAAAAAAATTTAAAATCGGTCAAGCCGTTCTGGACAAACGGTTGAAAAGTGATGATTTTCATGAAAAATGAAGTAACGTCTCCTTCCATTTCTTCTTCTTCTCCGTCATGTGCACTCCTCTCCTCTCATCTTTCACTCACACCTCCATCAACTTCGACCCACCGCACCCCCTCCTTCACCCTCTTTTCCCCACTACCCTTCTTTTTCGCCAAATTTCGCTCTCTTTCGTTATATAATATCTTTTAAAATCATTTTTTTTTATATATCTGTAATATACACTAAAAAGTGATATCCTAAAAAAATCATATCATAAAAATAAAAAGGTCAAACCATGATCAAAAAAAGATCTTAAAAAATTTGAACCTTTTTATCTAATAATAATAATATATTAACATGAAAAGTGATTGATATATTATTAACTAAAGGTTCTAGTTCGAAATGAACATACATAAAGTGTATGCAACTTTCGGCCGATTTTCGAATCGCCTCCGCCTTCCGCTGTCCCTCTCACCTCACCGTCCCGATGCTCGACCGTTGTGCGACATTTGGACTGTGGCCGTTTGTATGTTCAGAACGGCTTAACTGATTTTAAATTTTTTTTAGTTCAAATCACTCGTGGCGATGCCGCCTTTAAGGATATATTACGTGCGATTCAAAATTTTTTGTATTTTAGTAGTTATGTACCCTCCCAAAAATAGATTTTGGTGGCTCGGGATAAGAGACTTGTACTGTCTATTATTAATTTTTTAAATTTAAATTAACTAATAGTTTTTTTAACATGACCGAAGACACTACCGTGTCTCTTGATCTGCAGTAGCAGAGTAATGAAGACTGTAAGATTAAAAAATTGACCAATCACAATCGAATGTTAGAAGAACAATCAGGGAAATTGTGATATTATAATTATATTGTTCTCACAATGTAAGAAAAATAGAGTCTCATTCACTACTGCTATTGCCATTGTAAACCACACATTATGATTTCCTTACTGCTTACTACCGTACGTTTTTGTATGTATGGGTTTAAGAGCGAAGTTACTTAGGTTCCTTAGACAGTAGTATTTCAATAGAGGAAAATGATTGGTATGTCATTAACAGTGTACAGAACATGCAAGGGATGGCAATTAGCACCATTTTTGGCTAAGTGAATCTACTGTTCTCACTTATATATATATATATATATGCTTTAATCTCTGATTATACCTATAACTTTATTTAATAGATTGCATTTCTCTCATTTTTAATTAGCTAGAAATATCTTCTAATAAAAATTTAAATATCAAGAAATATTTTGTACTTCATATCTTAGGCTGCACTTTGATATAGTCACTGTCAGTATTGAAAATCAGGGTATAGTGACCATGTAACTTTATCTTTAGAGCAGAAACGAGAAAAGTGAACAATTTTATATACATATTGTGTATGTACATATATATACACATGAATGTACAATATATACAAAATATTTTCTCTTTTCCGTCCTAGGGTAAAAGTTACATGATCGCTGTAGTAGATATGTAAAGTGAAATATGAATTATCAGTATTGGCAGTGAATATTGGAATGTGTAGTCTTAATGACAACATAAACTATTGAAAAGAAACTGTTTAATAAAAATTTTTAATAAAATCTGCATTTATAAATAATTATTCTAATTTTATAAAGATAAGCATCATATATTTAAAAATAAAAATATTAATATAAAGAATTATCAAAGATTTATCAGATATAAGTTTAATATAAAGAGCTCGTTGTATAGAGACTAGCTAAGAATTTCAAGTTTCGATTTATTGATGTTACACAATTAATATTGATTAAGTTATTCTTAAATCTCTAATATTTTATGAACGTTACAAAAAAGTAACAAATCGTTACTTTCTAAGTAATGAAATGATAATGTATTACATTTTATGTAAAATAATGGTGACAGAAACAAGACTTTTTTTTTACAAAGTAACATTTCCAAGTTGACACTTGATATAACACAACTTACCATTATATTTACTGTATTTTTCATACTTTTCTGAATGATGTCTCGAACTTTTATGTAAGTGATGCCCTTGTCGACTACTTATAATGCTTTCGGTTTCTGTCAATGTGTCGTCATGTGAAAGTGAAGCGTTTCCTCTATTACCATGTCCAGGTATTGCATGATCTACACGGTCATGTTTTGCTTCACTGTGGGCCATAGAGTCTGTACACTGAGACGCACCATCTGAAACGTTGCTACCTTCGGCAGAGACCAACTGTCACAAAGTATTATTTCATTAAATAACATATGTACATATGAAATCTTTTTCTTTTGGAAAGAAACAAAGATTACTAAGTTTGGAACATATTCAAAAATATATTACATTATAAAACTACTTTTGATTTGTAAAAAGAAAACATTGATATGAAACATGACACTTTTTATATTTAGCTATAATTAGTAATAATTATTTAACCATTTAAATAATATATATTAAGAAAAAATCTTTTAATCTTACCCAAGAAACAACTCGACCATTGAAACATGGCAGATGAGCATCGTCATCTATTATTTCTTCTTTTACCACCCTAGTAAAAGAGAAAATATGCTTAGGATAAGTGATAACAATTCAACCATAATTACAGACTTAACAAATGTATTACATATAACGGTTATTAATCATTTTTATTTACATGTATAATATTTTAATTTATACACCTTTCATATTAGCTGCAAATAAATATTATAGTTTTGATATTTATTATCAGTGGAAAAATCTGTTACACGTATCTCTTTAATATGAGACAAAGTTTACTAATTAAATTTTAAAGTAATTCAAGACCTGTCACATGAGAATTTTATAAAATATAACAGAAACAATATCACATTTTCGAAAAAAAAGGGAAATCGTACAGTATGCTTAGATAAAAATAAAAAATTATTTTACATTATAAACAAAAATCGATAGTTGAATGAAAAAAAATGAATAATTATATTTACACACACACATCACTCGCGAGTACACTCGCGTAAAAACATAAGTTAAAATCAAGTAAATTATTGGAGTAATAAGTTGTATCCACTATGTTCAATAAAGTATAATTTAATGTGAGTGTAATATATACACCTAGTATGCTACATTACAAATAATAAGAAAGTAAAAATGAAAGGAAAGATTCAATAACGTAACGTCAATGCGTTGTTGACATTTACCCAAAGTCATCGTCCATTGACTTGAAGAAATACTTATAATTCGGTCGATTTAAAACGTTCTTAAAATCGGACAGGGTCACTCTTTCCGGCGATATGTTGAGCTTTACCAAATACGGCGTCTCTTCGTCATCCATATGATAAATAATCTTTGTCTCTTCCATCGTCGGAGTAAGCTTGTAAAACAAAATTTATTCGCGATGTAAAAACGATACGCAGCTATGGTTCCACTGAATTGGACGATATTTTCTCAAACCAATATGGCGCGTTATGCATCGAGCCAAAGCCCTAGTGCATAAAAAGATTACATATTCACAACTTGGTGGGATGCTCGCGGATCTCGTCGATGAGGACGTAGTCACGCGGCGTCACACCGTTCACGAGAATGTCACTGGCATTATTCGTTGAACCTTCACAAAACATATATTCGTAGGAATCGCCGTGACAAATTGAACGTCAACATTGCCGTCAGAGTTAAGCGGGGAGCACAGACTTTTGCATAACGCATAAAGCATGTGCATAAGGAATTTCATTGGCCCATTTTCTTATGCATGAGTCAATGGACCAATCAAATTCTTTATGTATATGGTTTATGCGTTATGCAAAAGTCTGTGCTCCCCGCTTACGCGTTTGCCCCGTACAATTCCGTATATATATTACAAGCATATATTTTACAGAAGCATAGATTGCGACGACTGCGCGAAGTGCGTAGGTCTGTTCGCGTTGCATGAAATCCCCAAATGATTTTGCACTTAAAATGAGATAGATATATATTTGGCGTCAAAAAGAGAGAAAGCGAAGATAGTAAGTGCAAAAAGTGCAAGCAACGCGAACAGACCTATAGCATGAGCATAATATAAAACTGTTGGACCAATAAGCATCCAGCATAAAGTTACCATAATGGGTGCATCTAGTGACCCTCTAATAAGAGTCTGGCAACTTCTCCCCGGTTTGTGATTGGTCCGACATTTATCATCCATTCCCGCAAATTTCTTTAAATTTATAAATTGTAAAAATTAATAAATTCGTAAAAATTAAAGTAGAATCAATTACAATTTTTATTTTTATTATTATTAAACTTATATTAACATTATTAAATATTTTCTATAAAAACTTTTATGTAAAAAAAACGTTGCAATATGTCTTTCATAAAATAAAAACAACAATTAACTAAGTATTACAAATATATTGAAAATATAAAAATTAATATATTAAGAATATATAAAATTTATAAAAATATTACAAGATTAAGAAACTTTAATAAAAATTAAATTTAAATACAAATAATACAATTAATGCTTTAAAATTCTTAACAAAAAATACTTAGGTAGCACCAATAGGGAATAAATAAAGTAGTATATTTATGCAGAAAAAAATATTTCATGCATATTTCATATTATTTATGTATATTAGATATACAGTATTTATATTTAATAAAAATGTTTTTGTAATTATTATATTTAACATATATAACAAAAATGTAAACATATATTCCTTTAACGCATAATAAAAATAATATAAATAATAATATTAATCATAATAATATAATAATATTA